AGAGGGAACAGTATTGACAATAGCTGGAAGGTACACAATACCAAGCATTTCCTATGGAATCCCCACTGACCCCCCCACCCCTCTGAGAAAACCCTCCACAGGATCACAGGAAATCACAACTCACCCCACTACAGGGGTCAGAGGTAGAAGAAGGGTAGAAGAAGGGTAGCTTCCACGGCAAGCAGGACTTGAGATCTACTCCTCAGTATTATCTGTATGAAATGCTACCCCTGCAGTCTCCAGCAGACCAAACCATATAATCCTTACCTCCCTGGCCAGCAGTCAAGTGATAGGTTTTGATGAGGTACTTGGAAGTGAAATCAAGCTCCTCAGACAGGAGTTCTGCGATAATAACAATTTTCAAACACTCAACCTCTGGCATCCTCCTGTGTACAACCTCTTTCACTCCAGGAATAAGTGACTTTACCAGAGACAATGTCTGCTACTTTCTGGTTAGAATTTATTTGTATACGTGTATACTGGCTGCCATTGTGACTGTGGGTCTGAAAACTTTTGAGAATTAGGGCACGGCTCTCCATCAACAAGTTCACCAGGGAGCAGGCCATCACCAGAGAAGGGTTAATAATGCAAGACATAAATCTTCTCCACTAGCAGTTCTGATGGCAAATCCTCCAATTTAGGAATAAGCAGATCGGTTCCTGTTCTCTGAGCTGAGCAGCTGGCTATAGGCCTGATACACCCTCTGTGTAAGGTTTAGAGGGAACTGATACCTTTATGCTCTACTAATTGAGACAAGCAGAGATGTGTCAAATATCTGCCAAAGTCTACTTCTATCTCTCTGTTTTATCTCCAAGCCCCAAATCACAGAGATGGAAAAATGTTAAGGTTTACATTACATTAGTACAATGGTGTGCTATAAACCATGACCGGCCCAGAAAATATGGCAAAATGCAAGGCTCTATCTATATGATAATATTTTATGAGTCAAGATCACTGAGATGCTTCCATTAGTAATAGAGTTCAACGATTTAATAACATTGAGGCCAGGTATGGTGGCTCATGCCTGTAATCCCAACACTCTGGTGAAAAGGGGGGTTGGACCTGGCTCGGTGGCTCAGCCTGTAATCCAGCGCCTTTGGGAGGCTGAGGTGAGTGGATTGCCTGAGCCTGCGGGTTCAAGACCCGCCTGGGCAGCGAGACCTCATCTCTACAGTAAATCAAAAAATCAGCTGGGCGTGGTAGCCCATGCCTGTAATTCCGGCTACTGGGAAGGCTGAGGCAGAAGGATCGCCGGAGCCCAGTAGGCGAGGCTGCGGTGGCCGGGAGCGGCCACTGCACTCCAGTCTGGGCGACCGAGTGAGACTCCAACTCAAAAAAAAAAAAAGAAAAGAAAAGGGGAGTTGTGGGGGAGGTGAGGTGGGAGATCACTTGAGCCCAGGAGTTTTGAGACCAGCCTAGGCAACATAGCGAGATATTGTCTCCACAAAATTTTTTTTAAATTTGTACTTATGAGGCTGAGGCAAAATGACTGCCTGAGTCCAGGAGTTCAAGGCTGCAGTAAGCTGTCATCATGCCACTGCACTTCAGCCTGGGTGACAGAGTAAAAACCCTGAAAAAAAAAATTTAAAAACTAATAATAAAATATAAAATAAAATTAAATAGAGTAAGCCAAGAAAGAAGTACAGTGATTCCTTCTGGTCACATAGAAACTGAACACTAGGATAAAATAATGTCAGGCTTTTGAAATTTATAACTAATATATAGCCAAAATACAAAAGCTATAAAAGTACAATGAAAAGTAAATGTTCCTGCCACCCTGGTCATCCAGTTCCTTTTCTCAGAATGAACCAGAGTTTCCAGTTTCTTGTGTACTATTCTGGAGATATTTTTTGTACAGACAATGTGATTGTATGCCTGTGTATACATATATATCTACATATACACATCCATGTGTAGATATATATTTTAATACCATTGGTAGCATGTCGTATTTATACTACTTAACCTTGATTTTTTTAAAATGAACAAAATATCCTGAAGATGGCTTTGTATCAGTTCACAGAGAACCAACTCATTCTTCTTAATGGCAGTGGAGAATTCCATTATTTGCTCTGTATTTGTTTAAGAGTCCTCTCCTGCTGTTCCTAATCCACTGGTTTAAAACAAATTCTTTGCTACCTAACCTTAATATATGCATCATTTCACACACGTATGGAATCTCTTTTTCGGATAAATTATTAAAAGGGAATTTGAGGATGATGGGGCAGGGAGGGAGTACAAAAGGCATGCACATTTTAAAATTTATTAAGGATTTCCACATGGTTTTATAAGGATTCTACCTTTATCATACACTAAATTAGCATATGCATCTGGGTTCATATCTGAATTTCTATTCTGATCCACTCAGACATTTGAGCATCAGCTTAACCCATTCTATGTATAGTTTTTACCCATTATAGCTTTATCATATAAAGCTATATGCTATCCGAAAAGTCACTCCTGTGTCATCTTTCATCTTTTCTATAATCTTTCTATTTCTTTCAAATTTTTAGATATTTAGTTAAAAATAGTAATAGCTATGCATTTGGTGCTTACTCCATGCCAAATACCAAAATCTACATTTAAAATGTATTAGCTCATCTAATTATGACAATAATTATATGAGGTAGACACTACTATTATCCCCATTTTTCAGAAGAGGAAACTAAGGCACAGAGAAGTCATAGAACTCACCCAAGATTACCCAGCCAGTGCTGGGTGCAGCCAGAATGCAAACCAAGAGTCTGCTCTCTTGGCCAATGTGCAACGCTGCCATTTGCAGACTAAGATTTGTTTTGTTGTTTTCTAATTTTTTTGAGTTGGATGCTTAATTCATTTGACTTTCAGGATCTGTCATCTACTAAACTGAAACTTTAGATTTTCCTCTGAGCACCCCTTTAGCTGTATCCCATTAGTTCTGATTATATAGCTTACCATGGCGCTCCCTATGCTGTTAGAAATCTGCACAGTTATATGTGTAGATTAAAAAGGGAGAATAATACTCTGATGACGTTGAGCTTTCCCATCCACAAATATGGTATGCCTTTCCATTTGTTTAAAATGTTTTATATGAAACATACACATTCTATTATGATTACTCAATAAGGTTTTAAAATCTTTTTAAAACTATCATTTTAATGGATCCTTTTCCTATAGTCTAAATTCTAACTAGCTGTTGCTGGAATATATGAAAGCCATAGAAATTTATGTGTGACATTGGACCTTGCCTTTTTAAAAGCAGAATTTTCTTGTTATTTCTGATAGTTTTCAGTTTATTTTCTTGGATTTCCCACATTAAAAATTTACATGAACATTAATTTTTTGCCTGCCTTTTTCTTTGCTCATACCCTTTTCACATTTACTATTAAATAATAGAAATAATAAAAGACATTTTTGTCTCATTCCTGACTTTCAATGAGACTTGAAAATTGGGAATATTGAAATTCTATCCTCATTGAGGGCTTACAGAACTACAGAAATTAGAAATTAAAAAACAAACAAACAAACAATTTAGGTAATAGTAAATTTATATTCTTTCTAATTTGTCTAATTTGGGGTACCTTTTATTTATTTATTTTTTTGGCACACTCATGGCCACCCTAGCGTCAGCCTGCTGGGCTCCAGTGATCTTTCCACCTCAGTCTTCCAAGTAGCCAGAACTATAGGCAAGCGCTAACACACTCGGCCAATTTTTGATTTATTGTAGAGAAGAGATCTTGCCAACTTGCCCAGGCTGGACTCAAACACGTGGGTTCAGGCAATCCACTCGCCTCAGCCTCTCCAAGTGCTAGGATTACAGGCTAAGTCACTGAGCCCGGCCAGGGGCACTTTTTTTAACCGAAATTTTCTTTGAAGTCAGATTTGGTAGCATAGCAGCTCTACCTTTAGAAAATGTACCCTGATATCAGCTTAAATACTTCCTCATTTAATGGTTTAAACATTGGCCAGGTGCAGTGGCCTATAATCCTAGCACTTTGGGAGACCGAGGCGAGAGGACTACCTGAGCCTAAGGGTTCAAAACCAGGCTGGGCAACTTGGTGAGACCTCGTCTCTACAATATATAAAAAAATTAAGCCGGGCTCAGTGGCTCAGCCTGTAATCCCGCGCCTTTGGGAGGCTGAGGTGAGTGGATTGCTAGAGCCCGCGGGTTCGAGATCTGCCTGGGCAGCGTGGCGAGACCTCATCTCTATAATAAATAAAAAATTAGCTGGGTGTGGTAGCGCATGCCTGTAGTTCCAGCTACTTGGAAGGCTGAGGCAGAAGGATCGCAAGAGCCCAGCAGGTCGAGGCTGCGGTGGCCGGGAGCAGCCACTGTACTCCAGTTTGGGCGACAGAGTGAGACTCAACTCAAAAAAAAAAAAAAAATTAGCTGGGTGTGGTAGAGTGCCTGTAATTCTGGCTACTTGGAAAGCTGAGGTGGAAGGATCGCCTGAGCCCAGCAGGTTGACGCTGGAGTGGCCATGAGTGTGCCACTGCACTCCAGCCTGGGCAACAGAGTAAGACACTGACTCAGAAAAAAAAAACAACAACAGTTTAAACATCTTTAATTTCTGTTACAAGTAAAACATGTTCCATAAAGAAAATCTGAAATCTAAAGAGAAAGAGAAACAATAAAATCTTTTTTTTTTTTTTTTTTGTCAGGGTCTCACTCTGTTGCCCAGGCTGGAGTACAGTGGCACCATCACAGTTCACTATAGCCTCTACTTCCTAGATTGAGGTGATCCTCCAGCCTCAGCCTCCCAAAGGACTACCACGTCCAGCTATTATTATTATTATTATTTTGGTAGAAATGAGGTCTCACTATGTTGCCTAGGCTGTCTCAAACTCCTGGGCTCAAGTAATCCTCCTGTCCTGGTTTCCTACAGTGCTGGAACTAAAGGCGTGTGTCACCATGCCCAGCCTGCCTCTTAAAGTGAATTAATAGCCCAGGACTTGGGGATGTGGCACATACTGTGTGCATTTGCCTCTCTATCTGCTTCCACAGCAGCCACAGTGCATACCTGGGTCCCCTGAGCTGTTGCTGTTCCTCTCACTCTCCCCATCTTCCTGGCCGTCTGCATTCTGCTGTGTGTGCTGGAGGCTCAGCTTGTGACAGACCTCAAAGGCCTGTCCCACCGTTCGGACGATTCGCATAGCTTGGCTCTGGAAAGGAGAAAGGAGAAGAATGAGGTAGGTGAGGATGTACAAGGGCACGTGGCAGAAGCCCACAAAGCCAGCAAAGAAGAGAGACAGAAATACCTAAGGTTGTCCAGATGTGCACATATTAACAAGCGTAATACATTGTCCCTTCCTGAAGTACTCCAGAAAATAGAAATTGTCACCACAGTTCTGAAATAATCAGTCAACTGAAAAGACAGATAGCAAACATACCAGCCCCAGTTTCTCCCTTCCAAGTATAACAAAAGTAGTCAACATGCTTCAGAATCATTTGCTAACCACTATCAATTGCCCAATGGGTTCCTCAAACTAAAAGGAATCCAGCCTTTTTCTTTTTGCAGCCTTTTGCTGCAAATGTTGAGTTTCCTTGGTGCTCCTGCAGACCAAAGGCCAGGATGATACAAGGCTTGGAAGCTGTGGCCTAAACAGCAGACCAACTGATGCTCAGCATCCAAGTCCCCTGGAACACCATAGGCAGCCAACCAAATCAAAGGTGAGCCTTTCCCAGTCTTACTCCAAAGACGTCTCTCCCTCAGGTCTGTTCTGAGGCTGCTACTTTTCTTTTGTTTTGCTGTTTCACCTCTTCCTTTGCGGGCCCAGGATTCCACTGCTTAACCAGGAGAGGAAGGAGAAGACAAAGAAGCCTGCGACTATGTAGAGTTTTAAGCAACCCAAGCAGGCTGTGAGGAAGAACCACCTGCAAGGTTTTCAGGGCATGGTCTCAAACGTGGAGAACTGACTATAATTTGATGATCAGTCAGCTTCTGTTTTCTTCCAAAGACAGAAATGAGTGAGATGAACAATATGGAGAGATTCGGAGCTCAGGACACTGTTTTCTTTACTCAAGCATCCCACCACACAAGCTGCAATGCACTTAATCTAATCCTAACTGTCACCCTGTACTCAAGTCTCACATTGATCACGTTTTAGATGGTCTGAATTTAGGTCAGCTGTGACTACCTGGTGACACTGCACAGTCCACTGATCACATTTAGAACTCTCAAGTCACATTAGCAATCACTCAGAGCTTCTCATCGGTATGAGATAGCAGGCGCTATATTACCGAACTGATGTCTAGCATTTTGATAAGCCTAGAAGGCCTTGCATAGGGTAATAAAATGAGCTTCATATATGCTTTTCATAATATCAAAATTAGTTCATATTTCCCATTCTATTTTTAAGAACTCCTGGGGACCTAAGAACCCCACTGCTCTAGTACATTCTCTGCTGGGGATAACTTCCAAAATTCCTCACTTCTGTGTGACTTCTTTTTATTTCAGGCTAGAAATGAAAAGGCATCTTGGTCAATCATCATCCACATGTCTAATTTAGGTCTCAATCCACTTCCACTGCCCCTGATATTCCTCAACTCAAACCACCTCCTAGAAGTGACTATCTTACCACTCAAACCTCTCTAAGCCCATTAAACTAACTTCAGAGATCCTCTCTACTGATCCCTCACCTGGAAAATCCTGACATTTCTGGGAGATGAGAACCTTAAGTGAAGCAGGAGTCAGATAACTGTCATGGGGTCCTCTCTCACCCAGTGGTAGATCAGAACTTCTGACCTCTATGTTCACACTTAATTTCCTCCAATTTCCTCCTGTGTCCAAAGGGCAGGTTTAGGACAATATCTAAGAGACAGCTGTTCTATCTGCACAGGAAGTGGGCATCAGTCCTAAGCAAAAAAACCCCTCTCTTCCCACTTCCAAAACATACAAAAAGATGTGATTTAGAAGGCATATTCCCTAACAAACCCATGCCAAGAATACCCCAGCTTTCCACATCGCCTTTGGTCATCAAGCTGAGATCTGGTTGGGAGGCTGAGCCAGGAAGTTCAAGTCTTGGGTGAAAAGGGAGAAGAAAAGGCTGCCCCACCCAAAAGCATTATTCCCATGGGCCTCCTCAGATGTTTTGTTCCTTATTTCCTTTATGAGAGTAACAGCAGGCTGCCTGTGGTTAATCTTTTACAGCAAAGCTCACTACTAGACCTTAGATAGGGCTTTTTTCTGCCTTCCAAGTACACTCAGCGTCCATGATACTGAATCTTTCTCCCCTCGCTTCCTCTCACTCTTGGGAATTTTGCTCTCCTGGGCAACTTTACAAAAGGTAGAAAAGGTAAATGCCTTAGGTTGTAAAATTAAAATATGGTATGCCTAAATGAAATGTAGAGATTAAGTGTTTAATCCTTTACTTATCTTATATAATTTAACCCAGATATTTCATATTGAATAAATACCTTCAAAGACTAAGTTAGTCTTTTCCCCTGTGTATCATCCCCAGAGTACACACTCAGTTTCCCTCTTTAAAAATACTGCTATAAAGAAAACTTTAACTTCACTACTGCGCTTGTTGCTATAAAATCTCAGGTCTTCCTAGGCAAAACATGTTACAAATTCCACCATCTCTGTAAATCATAGACGCTTTCCTTAAGTAGCTTTTAAGATGATATTAAAAATTTAAAGGTCCTCAAATAAATGTCCCTGATCTATGGGATAGGGGACAGAAATAAGGATCGAATTTCTAAACTTATCTTTGGAAGGAAGCACTCAAATTTAAATAAGGGGATAGATTTTGTGGGAAATGGCCTTACAGAGGACCCACAGTTCTCATGCATCACAGGTTGACAACAGATGATGAGATACACTCAGAACTGAGCATTTTAAGGACCTAGATGCCTGCTCAAATCTCTATTCTGCTACCTTTATCAAAGACAAATGTGTGAAATGTACCCACAGGTTCAAGCAATTATTTATAGGCCCCAAATAGCCATCAGGAAGTGGGATAGTTTAATATTTATATTGTTCAGTGTTTACATTTTAGTACATTTTACCGAATCAGCAATTGACTGACATATCTGATTCCTCTAAAAACGTAGAAAACGCAGACTTGAGGTCTACTGGTCCTACCTTCCCCATGTTGGAAAGAGCACCCCACCCCCTCAGCCTCCCATTTCCTTACTAGTCTAACTTTATCACACTGTTCTCTAAAGTATTTCTGTAACTTCATTGAGAAATTAAATCAGTGATGTCTCTCTAACATCTCCTCTGTCACAGAGAGGAATACATATGTAGGTAACATACTTGATAGCACCTGCCACAGTACCTGGCATACAGTAAATCCTCAAGATGTGATTTTTTTTTTAAAGTTGGGGTCTCTGTCACTCAGGTGATCACAGCTCACCACAGCCTCAACCTCCTGAACTCAGGCCATCCTTCCACCTTAGCATCCTGAGCTAGGACTACAGGTGTGTGCCACTGGGCTCAGCTGATTTTTTTACTTTTTGTAGAGATGAGGTTTCACTATGTTACCCAAGCTGGTCTCGAACTCCTAGGCTCAAGCAGTCCACCCACCTCGGCTTCTCAAAGTGCTGAAATTATAGGCATGGGCCACTACTCTCCATGGGCCCCAAGAAATGTTTTATTCTGAATATAGACTTCACTGCACCAAAAGGCAATCAAGATAGAAAACAGAAAGCAGTGAAGGAAAGGTGGGACTATTTTATCAATAATAGGGAATCACCTTTTACATGTATATATGCTAGCATCCAAAAGGCTATGCCACTGTCTCCCTCCTCCATAGCAGCAGAGGAAAACTCCTGGATCAAATGAATCTTTGGCATGAGCCAGCATGATGGCTTCTATGTGTGAGGAAACTGTTGCATATGAGATCTAGTTTTGCACATTGAATGCTAAGTGGTTTCACTCTGATTTATCCTTTACTCCTCTTTATTGTGAAGGCTATATTTCCATTCACAGTAAAGGGACACAGTAGCACATGTTATGAAGAGCCCTCTGCACTTGAATACATGATCAGAATGTATCATCTGCTTTACAGGATGACTATATCCACATAAAAGAATTGCCCTTACCACTTACCACTGGAGCTGGACAGCTCCTAACTCTACTGGTAAATGCCTATGGGAGTTCAGATGCCTCTTGACCTTTTAGGCTCTCCTTCCTTCTACCAGTGAAAAGTCTACTTTGAGAAGATTCTATATGAGGACCTCATCAGGGGATAGTTACTTGAAAGTAGCCAGTAGGGGCAACCTGTGCCCAGCAGAAGCTGTCTCTCCCACCATCTGCTTTCTACACAGCCATGTCAGCTGCTGCCAGCAAGGCCTGCTCCACTTGGTCACTCCAACTTCTTGACCTTCTAGGCAAGAAAACTGGTCTTGCCTGCCACTCTGGAATGCAAGAATCACACATGCTGGGATTTAATAGTTAATATGCTAAAACTAAGAGGGAGAATTCTGGTAAACAGCAGCTGTAAAAAGAACCCCTTCCAAAGATTTTTACAAATACTTGTCTTTGGGTCTCCTGGGTCACACTGACACAGCTGCTCACATCTTATGACCACAAGCAGACCTTTAGAAATAAAAGAAGAGACTTAAAGATTGAAGGCAGTGAGATATGAAAAGCATGCAAGAGGAGCATTGAGAAGGCAGCCTTTTTGAGTTCCCAAATCTGGTTATTCTCTGCAACTTACTAGATACTTTTTTTGAAGCATCATTATACTGCATTATTCCTGTACAAATTGAGTTTAGTTTTATATAAGCCCCTGAAAATGCTTTGCCACATGGATCAAATCTTCCTGTCCAAAAGCCATTTTCTATTAGCAGCCCCAAAGCATCTGTGGCCTCTTAGTTGTCAAGATTAGGCTAGATATGGTTGCTTTGATGTTTTCAAAGCTGGAAAGGGATATCTAACCTCAGCATGGCTCTTAGTTGTGGATGGAGAGCACTGAAGGCCTGAAGAGTGAATTCTAGGCAATTTTGTGAAAATAGAGTGGGAAAGGACACTGTCTAGAACTGTCTACCACTTACCTTTACCACACACAGAAACGTTTTCTTTAAACCACCTACCTTTTCATGTTGACATAGCTCCCTCTCCCTCAACCAAGCATAAAAGTCAGGTCAAGATGCAATGAACAGCTTGCTGTTCTCTTTAGTACACTAATGTGGCTATCAACTGTATACCTAGCAA